CTTTCCATACGCTTCTTTGAATATAAAGGAAAAATCACAAAATAAAAAAGAGAGAAGCTAATTAAAGAAAATGAGAAAAAAGAGCATTTGGGTGGAAGCTCTAAGAATCCATTTGATTACAAGAGTTGAATTTGGGTGGAAAAATTGTCTAAAATTGTTTTCTTGAGAATTGTCAATTAATTATATTTGAATGATATAATTTTTCACCTAGAAAATGTTGAAATTTTGGATCTTTTGGTATTCATGTAACTTTGTTTTCCATGAAAATTGTCCATTAAAAAGAAAAAGAAAATTTTACTATTGGGAAAGAATTTATTTCAATTACCAAAAAAAAAAGAAATTCTAGAAAACCATTTTCTCACTAAAGTGGTGAGAAAACCAATTCAATAAAAACATGAATAGGGGCCACGTGGAGGGGTTGGGAGGAAAATATTTTACTAAGAAAAAATTGGCTATCAAACATGACAAAAGTTGGAACTTGGAAAACAAGTTCCATGGAAAATAAGATGAATCAAACGGGGCCTAAGTATGGCATTTATGCAAAGCAGGAAGGGGATTTTAGTGCTAGCACGAAAGAGAAGAATTGTATTCTGCAGGGACGAATTTAGGACCGAATTGCAAGTCGAGCTAATACGTCAAAAAAAATTACACATACGTAAAAAAAAATTACACAAGAAATTTTTTTTTTACATAATTTTTTTTTCTACTAAAAAAATTGAATGTGATAGCCCGGTCCAGCCCCCTAGATCCGTCAGTGGTATTTAGAATCTAGACACTCTAGTAAAAATATGCTCCGCTAGAGCACGAGTCAAATGAGATATGACATTTTGGTCTTTTCTTCCCAATTCCAAATAAAACGAAAAGAATTGTACTAAAAATGCCGAATTTTGAATTAGTTTTTGCATTCTGCAATCTGTGACTTTTTTTAAAATCTTGATTATTGTCTAATTCAATTAGTTGGTTATTATTTGTGGAGTCCTTACACCAATGAGTTTCATTACTTAGAAGAGAGCAGAAATTTAAGGTTGTTCTACCGTATTATTCCCATTATCTCGTGCAATATTGTTTTGAAACTATAATATTCAGGACTAGTACAAGAGTATTAAGCGGTCGAGGTAGGTAAAAAATAATAGTCACCTACATGCAATGCATTCGCCAATAATATAAACAAGGAAACAATAACTACATTTGCATCCAAATGAAATCTAGGATGCACATTGTGAAGAGTTCCATCAACCCTAACAGCATTAACCAGGGGCGGACGTAGAAGTCGAAAGTTAAGGAGCACAATCGAATTTACAAATAAATTGGGAGAAATTTTACAATCGAAAATTTACGTCCAAAAAACTCATAACACATAATTTTGCAAGCGAAAATTTACATTGAGAAATTAGTATTGCAAAAATAATAAATGTTAATGAAATAATTGAATTTTTTTAAAGAAAATGTTAGTTAAACGTCTTTCTTTAAATCACACGTTTAACGAATTGTTAATTATTTTCGATATCTGTTTGGATTATTTGATATGCCTATAATGTAGTTCTTGAAATAAGTTTTGAGATGACATAAGCAATTTGTAGATTCAATTAACGTATGATCGTCGAAATTTTTCTTAAGTTAGCATATTATCGAAATTTTCCAAATACCAATTTTGAACGGCTTACTTTGACAAGTTGTAACATTTGCATATTATCGAAATTTTTCAAATACAAATTTTGAACGGCTTACTTTGACAAGTCGTAACATTTGCTACGATTGATCGTTTCGTACGCCATTAACGACGTAGAAAACTAAAGCGTAAGCACTTCGAAATAGTATTAAGAATACAATATTTCACCTTTATTTGATGGAGAGTTGAGATTTTGTTAAAAGGAGAGAAAAATTAAAATTTATTGTGATTTTGCCAATATTTGATGGAGATTAAAATCAAATTTTTAGTAAATTTTGATAATAGTTAAATAGTTATGGATTCCATGAAATATGTTATTAAAATTCAATAATTCTATTTGTACATAATTATTGGCCATAGAAATTGGCCAAAAATCTCACATGGGGTGGGCCCCATGTGATTAAAATATTGAAAAAAATAAACCACCCCCCACCCCCTCGTTGTGAGTGTCTGGCCACTCTGCTTATGTACAAGAAGCAGAGCTCATTAAAATTAAGGGAAAATTGCAGCCGCAGTATCAAACATTTCACTTTTTTGCAGAGTTTGCCCAAACATTTGATTTGTGCCACCCACGGTACCAAACCTTTCAAAAATATGCACCGGGGGTCTAAATGGATGGTTTCCGTCCAGTTGACCAAANACAAAAGAGTCGTCTTCTTCCTCAAACCATCCAAAACCGCTTCAACCACCACCAGCCGGCGTTAGCGTCACCTCTTCCTCCTCAACCCCGTCTTCTTCCTCCCCAGCTCGAGCGATCCCTCTTCCTCTTCATCTTTCCCTGACTTTCACTCCGGCCACCACCCAGATTCAAGAATGCTCCGGCCTCCACCGCCTCCTCCTCCTCCCACCACCACGACCGTCGTCGCCTCCTCCACCACCACAACCTCAAGAAACCCGCGAACCACCAACAGCAAGCCAGAGTTTACAAACCCGTGAACCCACACCCCACAACATCTACCATCTCTGTAAATTCTCAGTAGATTCGGATTTGGGTTCACGGGTTTGAGGGGAATTCGATGAAGACATGGTAGATACTGTGGGGTGTGGGTTCACGGGTTTGTGCCGACACAGAGGTGGTAGAGGTGCCAGCACTGTTGTTGGCCGGAGAAGAGAAATCGAGGTTGGGTGGTGTGGGGTG